GTGTGCGTGACCTCTGACCTCCATTGTTGCAGGACCACGAGAGCGTGGGGCTCAACGTTGCCGTCGCGCACTACGGCATCATCGTCTTTCAGAACCTGACGAAGATCAACACGTTCTCCTGGGCGAAGATCCGTAAGATCAGCTTCAAACGCAAGCGCTTCCTCATCAAGCTGCATCCGGAAAGCCAGGTACCGTCGACGTTGTTCGCAGGCCGCGATTGTTCTGTTGCTCACGTTGTTCGTAGTTCGTGATCGCTCTGTTGTTCACGTTGTTCGTAGTCCGCGATCGCTCTGTTGTTCACGTTGTTCGTAGTCCGCGATTGTTCTGTTGTTCACGTTGTTCGTAGTTCGCGATCGTTCTGTTGTTCACGTTGTTCATAGACCGCAATCGTGCTGTTGTTCACGTTGTCCATAGTCCGCAATCGTTCTGTTGTTTACGTTGTTCGTAGTCTGTGATCGTTCTGTTGTTTACGTTGTTTGCAGGCCGCGATCGTTCTGTTGTTCACGTGCTGCCAGATTCCTTTGTTCGCAGGCCTCGTCATTCCGTTGTTCAGAGGTTATGCTGTTCCATTGTTTACAGAACATGAGGTTTGGTTGTTTACGGAACATGAAGTTCCATTGTTTGCAGGCCTCCTCGGTTCATTGTTTGCTGCAACTATTGTTTTATTGTTCACAGGTTCTATAATTGTTCCATTGTTCACAGCCACCATTGTTCCATTGGTCACAGCCACCGTTGTTCCATTGTTTGTAGCCACCATTATTTTATTGTTCACAGGCCCTGTTGTTCTATTGTTCACAAGCGTTGCTGCCCCATTTTGGCAACATTTTGGGTTCCTTCACTCCTCCCATTTTTCTTCTTTATTCACAGCTCTACTACAAGGACACAGTCGACTTCTACTTTGATGACCGCACTCGCTGCAAGATCTTCTGGAAGAAGTGTGTCGAGCATCACGCGTTCTTCCGCTGCGCGACGATGGACAAGGTCGAGCGAAGAAAGAAGCACTTCCTCAGCAAGGGTTCCTCCTTCAGGTACGCGGCGGGGGGCCTTCCTCAGCAAGGGTTCCTCCTTCAGGTACGCGGCGGGGGGCCTTCTTCAGCAAGGGTTCTTCTTTCAGGTACCTCGCTGCCTTGCGTATCTCGCTGCCTTGTGTATCTGGCTGCCTTGTGTATCTCGCTGCCTTGTGTATCTCGCTGCCTTGTGTATCTCACTGCCTTGTGTATCTCGCTGCCTTGTGTATCTCACTGCCTTGTGTATCTCACTGCCTTGTGTATCTCGCTGCCTTGTGTATCTCGCTGCCTTGTGTATCTCGCTACCTTGTGTATCTCGCTGCCTTGTGTATCTCGCTGCCTTGTGTATCTCACTGCCTTGTGTATCTCTCTGCCTTGTGTATCTCACTGCCTTGTGTATCTCGCTGCCTTGTGTATCTCGCTGCCTTGTCGCTACCTTGTGTATCTCACTGCCTTGTGTATCTCGCTACCTTGTGTATCTTGCAGCCTTGTGTATCTCGCTACCTTGTGTATCTCGCTGCCTTGTATATCTCGCTGCCTTGTGTATCTCGCTGCCTTGTGTATCTCGCTACCTTGTGTATCTCGCTGCCTTGTGTATCTCACTGCCTTGTGTATCTCACTGCCTTGTATATCTGGCTGGTGAGTAATTGATGTGGTGTGTGGGGCATGCGTTGTCGTGTGTGCTTGCGCGAGAGAGAGGGGATATCTGATCATGATGAATCTGCATTGACTAGATGCTAGGCAATCAATATTAGGCAGCCGCTAGCCTTTGTTGTGCTTTTGGTCGCGCGTATCGGTAACTACCGTAGTGTCGTATTGTGTGCTAGAAAAACGACGAAATGCTAAAACTTTTGTAAAAAATCAGCCAATCGTTAGTGTTGCTCAATCGTTCCTTTTTTCTAAGTCTCAGTTTTTGTGAAAGTTTATTATTTTTCTTTAGTCTGAGTTTTCTGTATTGCTTTAACCAGGTTAGAAAATGTCCTTTTCTATGTAATAAGAATTGGGGAATTTATTCTGCGTGCATACTTTTTACTGTTTTATGCGAAAAAAAACACATATTTAACTTGTGATGCTTTACTAGCCAGACCTAGTGAGCATGCCATTTAATTTCCCAGGTGTCTCTCTGTTTGCCATGATGACATTGCATTTATTGAAACATGAAACGATTTTGCTTGTTCCACGCAGCATTGTCGAACTGATAGATACATGCTTCCTCTGTGCCCCTCTGCCCCTCTCTCTCTCTGGGTCTCCCCTAGCGTTTCACACAATGTTTGCTGATGAACATGGAGGCTAAGCTCATCTTTTTGCACAAACATGGCCGCTTAGCAGACATTCTAATTGTCTTTTTGCACAAACATGGCCGCTTAGCAGACATTCGAATTGTCTTTTTGCACAAACATGACCGCTTAGCAGACATTCTAATTGTCTTTTTGCACAAACATGACCGCTTAGCAGACATTCTAATTGTCTTTTTGCAGAAACATGACCGCTTAGCAGACATTCCAATTGTCTTTTTGCACAAACATGACCGCTTAGCAGACATTCGAATTGTCATTTTGCACAAAAATGGCCACTTAGCAGACATTCGAATTGTCTTTTTGCAGAAACATGACCGCACAAAAATGACCGCTTCGCAGACATTCGAATTGTCTTTTTGCACAAACATGACCGCTTAGCAGACATTCCAATTGTCTTTTTGCAGAAACATGACCGCTTAGCAGACATTCGAATTGTCTTTTTGCATAAACATGACCACTTAGCAGACATTCTAATTGTCTTTTTGCACAAACATGACCGCTTAGCAGACATTCTAATTGTCTTTTTGCATAAACATGACCACTTAGCAGACATTCTAATTGTCTTTTTGCATAAACATGACCACTTAGCAGACATTCTAATTGTCTTTTTGCATAAACATGACCACTTAGCAGACGTTCTAATTGTCTTTTTGCACAAACATGACCGCTTAGCAGACATTCTAATTGTCTTTTTGCACAAACATGGCCGCTTAGTGGACACTCGTGTTTTTGCTCAAACATGGCCGCTGATTGGAGGCTCGTGTGTTTTCAGGTACAGCGGGAGAACGTTGAAGGAGATGGTGGATCACGTGAGGCAGGCCTACGTGAAGCGGCAGACGCTCAAGCGGTTCGTATGCACACTCTACCTCTTACTCTTCCTCTTTACCTTCAACTTCCTCTTCCTTTTCCTTTTCCTCTTGCTTTCCCTCTTCTACTTCCTCTTCTTTTTCCTTTTCCTCTTGCTTTCCCTCTTCTACTTCCTCTTAATTTTCTTTTTCCTCTCAGTGAGAAAGCCAGACTGACCTTGTAAGCTGACATGATGAAAACGTTGACATTAAAATCTGCAGTATCTTCTTCATTAAAATGTCTTCAACCTCTTATTCGAAGTTGACTGTGTTGACATCATTGATGTTAACGATGTTGAAATTAACATTTGCTGTTGCCTTTGATCCTGACATTACATTAATATGTAATATTGTATTTAATATAATAATTACGTTATAGTATAATTTGAGAACTAACAACCTAGTGAGTGTGTGAGAGAGAGAGGAAGAGAGAGAGAGAGAAAGAGAGAGAGAGAGAGAGAGAGAGAGAGACGAGAGAGAGAGAGAGAGAGAGAGAGAGAGAGAGAGAGAGAGAGAGAGAGAGAGAGAGAGAGAGAGAGAGAGAGAGAGAAGGAGAGAGGGGAGGAC